CAATTGCTGGCATAATTCCATAAAAAATATAAGTATTTCTAAAAACAAATGATAAATGAAATTAATAAAAATTAAATTAAACTTACATTATTATTACAAAATCGAAAAATGAAATAAAAAAAAATAAAGGCAATAGATATAGAAATTTCTAAAAACTGGAAAGGCAACAACAAACAAAACACAAACCACGTTAAAGTTACCATGACGTAAGTATGCTTATTATATTATATTAATAAATAAAAATAAATTAAAAATTCGGCTTAAGATGTGTGATGTTATCATAGTGAACCATGTGCTTGTTTCCGAATATGCAAACCATTATTTACGTTTATCATTGGTTGGCAAAAACCTTGTCATAACGTTTCTATGAATAGCGACATGATACTCAACTTTTGATGGAAATTTTACAAGAAAACGAATCACCCAATGAAAACAAAGAACCAGCAATTTGCTCTAATTAAAGCACTTGCCGTGAGCGAATCTCTTAAAATAGGATTTTGCTGTGAAATACTCGATTGTGCACTGATCAAACGTGCGAACAGTATCACCTTAAGCAGTGAGCTTTGGGTACTTTAGTCACGGATTTGACAGCGATCGAAAGTTATCGGTATATTTAAAAATACTACAACACAATTTTAAAATGGTATTTTGTCTTTGGTAAGTCTAATCGTCACGTCACACGATGCTCATTGACTATATTCCTGCTGTTTTAAAGAAATGTATAGTATATATGCAAAGTATAGTATGCAACACGTTGATAAACTTCTTCCGACATTCGTTTATTAAACCAACTGGTGATTAAAATTGCGTTTATGAAATAGCAAACACCAAAGCGTTTTTATTACAAAACAGGACTAATAGGTGAGAGATTCTTATTAGCAGTGCAAAGTCAGATTTGCGACTTTGACAGTTGACGGTGACGATATAGAAAAACAACAAGAAAACAACAAAACAAATCTATCGACAAAAGAGTGTCGAGACGAGTGGAGGGGGTCATCAACTAAAACATCAAAAATAATTAAAATTTCTCTTAGATGACAATTATTATTAAATATGAAAGAATGCTATAATTAGTTTTTCTGCTTGGACTATTACTAAATGCTGATAAATGATGACAGTTTTACGAGTCAAATGTTAAGTGACCAAATTCGTATGTTTCATGAGTCTTATATTTTTAATTTTAAGAATAATTTTTACAATTTTAGCAAAAGTGACAATATTTGCTGGATGTTGGTTTTTTCTGCCACAGTAATTCATCAAAATGGGCACCCAAATGGAAAACATAAAATACCCAAAATGGCAACTATCGAAAATATATATATATATATATATATATATATATATATATATATATATATATATATATATATATATATATATATATATATATATATATATATATATATATATATATATATATATATATATATATATATATTCTCACGTATTGATTCACGGATGGAAAAATGTGATGACACTATATTCCGGGATATCATCCGTTCGCTCGTTGAACTCCGACTGGAATCCTGCATCCGACTGGAATCCTGCAAATCTTGCATCCGACTGGAATCCTGCAGACGTTTCGCCAAAATCTCACTTGGCATCTTCAATGCTCGTGTTCGAAGTGTTTTCGGAGCGCGAGCATTGAAGATGCCAAGTGAGATTTTGGCGAAACGTCTGCAGGATTCCAGTCGGATGCAAGATTTGCAGGATTCCAGTCGGATGCAGGATTCCAGTCGGAGTTCAACGAGCGAACGGATGATATCCCGGAATATAGTGTCATCATATATATATATATATATATATATATATATATATATATATATATATATATATATATATATATATATATATATATATATATATATATACATATACATATCTTCTAAAACAAATGTGAATTTTCCGGAAAATACTAAAAATAATTAACTTCATCTTCAGCACTAGAATGTTTTATTTACGATTCGGTCGTGCTTTCGATTTGACATTGATTCCACTGTAATAAAAAATGGAGGCGGATCACTTCTAACCAGGTAATCTGCACAGTTTTTAATAGTTAATTTGGTAATTTCGCGCCTGCAATAATATTTCCGTGTCATATGCAACCTTATACCACGTTAATAATTAATCTACCTTAACTATTCACGAGCTATATTTTTAGCGCGAACTGGGTTGACCATGTTTATTTAACATGCGGTAGGTACTAACAGCTATTTGCGTTGGGCTATCGATTTTAAAATTATCACGTCGCTTTTCGATTTGCGTAGAATTTTACCGTTCAGGTTAAATGTTCCAAGAAAAGAAATGTACACTGCAACACAAAAAAGAATATATTTCAAATTTTATACTTTCCATTGCCAGTTATGGTTGTATAATCCCCCATTTTAAAAAGCACACAGCTAGAAATAAATTTTGATTCGAAATTGGATGTTACTAGTTAGTTATCTTAATTTTATTTATCATATTCTTCATCTTCCTCAACCTAGTTCAAATGGTCCAGTTTTTTTTATTGATGTTGGCCAGTGTTAAGGATTCAGCCCGATAGAGTCGAACTGTTAACACATAAAATCTGTAAGCAAACTTGGCTTTAAAATATTTAAACGCAATTAAACATTGTTAGATCTTAAGTCATTGGCTTTTTAAACACTCGTGACTAAAGTGGAGCTTATCAAACCTGCATGCATAATATACCTTCTTCAAATGCAGATTGCCGATATTATTTTGGATATCTTTTCTACCGTGTGTGTTAAGCAACTCGTTGTAAATACTTATTTGTAATTGTATAAATCTAATTTTGATTGAAACCTGATAAAATTTCGAAGGCAAGTAAATTTAGCACCTGTTTTTTACAGAAGCTCGACGCAATGGTTATATCTCATGACCCGGTTACGAGCTTTAATGCTCACATTGGTTCGCACATGCAAATTAAAGTATCGTTTAAATCTCACTAACACGATAATGACACTTAAAAGCGAATTTGAACACAAATTACGATGTTAACAAGGGAATACATTATAATAATAATACTTTTTCGGAGAAAGTGACATGCCAGGAAATGTTTGCACGTCAAGGGGTCACAATTTTTATGTGTTACAATGTTGTTTCGTCCTTTTACAATTATTATTAAGTTCTATTATAATTATTATATTTAAATAAACAGATTATATGTAAATTGTGAACTTATTTTGTTTATATTTGTAAAATAGTTTCAATATACATATTTCTAAAATTATAACAATATGTAGCAAAAAATATGAAAAATAATTTTTTCTTCGTTTTGAAAGTTTTTTGTTTAAATTTAGATCATCTTTACGTCAGTGCAAATGGTTGCTTTATTATCTACTGTATTATACTAAAAAAACAATATTTTTTAATTTTAAGTTCAAATCGATAGATACGTAGGCTCCCATAGCCTTTAAACGCACCAATTAATATTAAAATGTTTTTTATAAACAACAATTGGTATTAACAGCTTTGAAATAGTGATTGGCGCTTAATTATTAAGCAGGATATTCATTATTTATACAGGATGTTCATATTCTTTCACCACTTCTCGCATCTTAGAAAGTTATAAATTTCTTGAAAAAAAAATTAGGTTCAATGTTGTTAAATGGCCGCTTATAAATAAAAAACAAAACTATATTCAAAAATAATTTTGTTTAATTTTTAATCGCTTTAGTGTATATTTTCAATATGGCTGTTAATAATTACTATTAATTAATTTAAGTGTTTTGGTTCATTTGAAAGAAAATTTAGATTGAAATAAGTACAAGGATAAATTTGACGGTACTCAGTGGTTTTTATTTTATTCCCTACAGGGCGATGGCCCTTGCAAAAAAAAATACAGTTAATGAGGATTTGGAATTAAGTCAATTAAATCATATGGTAGAAATTTATTTCAATGGGAAAACAATGGTAACATCTTGGAGAATCTTTGGAAAGAATCTATAATATTTACAAGAAAAAAACCTGAAATTAAATTGAAAACAATTGATATGTATTTTTCGTTTTCTTACATTTTCTTTCTTTTAGTTCATTTGATGTCATCATTTTGTCTTTACAGTTACGCCCTCTAGGGATCATAATGACAACTCTAAAAATAGTTCGAAACGTTTGTTTCATATCCTAAATATCTATGACCAGTACTTTCTGAAATACAACCGAGAACCATACGTATACCAAGATTCTTTATGTTTTGCTTCATACATAAAAAAATGAAATTCTGTTATTTATTTATTTATATATTATATATTTATTGTGTTTTGCTACATATATTTAAAAAAGAAGAGAATCGATTACGTATTTATTTAGTGCTTCAATGTAATAATTACGATTAAAATAAATTCCGGTGGAGGTAAAAATCAGTGTCGAGCTTTAAGAGACCAGTTCCAATTCTATGTCCATAAACGTAATTTTATACCACATTAACGACACAACTTTTTGTCGAGTTGTGACTCCAAGAATGTTAAACTGTGTCCTGAGTTTATATATAAGCGCACTGCGAAAAATCGACTTCAAACTGATGAACCCTTTGCGAAAGCAGATGTCACCTTTTATTTACTGTTCCTTATACAGTTTTTACCAAAGATGGACTAAATAAAGCGTACACGAAAGCAGGTGGTTCGCAGCCATACATTAGCGAAATTTTAAGTAATGTTTTCGTCACAAAAAACTAATTGTGTTTACAACGGCGACCGCGAGGGTAGATCAGGAGCGGAACGCCATTTACATAAGCGGGGATCTAATTGGGCCTTCGCTACCGTTTTCAAATAAGTCAATTTGTAAGACATTGTGTAACGCTTATCGTAAACTGTAAGTTCCGGATGACGTTACCGCGCATTTAAATTAATTAGACGTTGTTATTGTAATTATGTACTTTACATTTTAAGTATTTCATTAGACGGTTTAAATTACAGCTTTTCGGGGTGAATTAACCAGTACGATTTTACATAATGAGTCGTTGTCGACGTATGACATTTTTTTTTTGTTTTTTTTTTCAGGAACCTTGCGACCGCCTGGCTTGATAGGCGGCAGCAAACCTAAAGTCGCTACTCCGGCCGTTGTTTCCAAAATCGAACAGTACAAAAGAGAGAATCCAACGATTTTCGCGTGGGAGATAAGAGAACGGCTCATTTCTGAGGGTAAGGGTATTATTTTGTCTATAATAACACATCTGAGTGCATCGTAAAACATTTGAAAAAAACCCATATATGATATGATACCTGTAGTTGCAAATTCTGTCCAACATGGCGGCTGACAGATTAAGTATTTTATCAAAATATGTCCAGATCCCATGAAGTTTTCAGGAAAAAAGGAGTTAAGTATGTGGATATCAATGTTTAGAAAGACCCAAGTGCGCAAATCTAGGAAAATATCATAGTCACTGAGGCGCATAAATTTTTATCGCAGTAGGGCCACTATATTATCTAATAGCCACATGAGAAACCCAAACAGGAAACAAATCAAAATAATGCTATTTAATTTTAATCTTTCTCAATGAAAGCCAAGGTGCTATGGTATTGTAATTCATTTTATGCAGTTTTTATTAGTTAAAAAAAATCGGATTCGTTTTTTTAGTTTCTCGTGGTAGAGGGAATCAAATCAAATGAACACAAAAATTAACTCGATATCTTGAATTCCTATTTGTCCGTTTTCGCACAGTCCTTCCGGTCGGATTTTGAAGTTTTAGAGTTAAGGGCTAATTTGTTTTATTTACACTTCCGATTAACCATAGCAGACAATAGACATATTTGTAAACATGATAAGAGATAAGAAATCGAAACTACTTAGAACAATAATAAAAGTATAAGTATAAGTATAAGTATAAGTATAACATACATTTTTTTACAAACATATACTACTTCCTTTATAGTGATCAGGAAACTTTAAAGCTTTTAAGCTTATTTAATCACGCGTTTGTTGAAAGAATCGACAAAGCGCTATTTAATACTAAGTGGTAGTTAGCCCTAGAACTCCTGATAATTCATCTTCTAAAATTTCCTACCTGTTCCTGTTGACTACGCTACTAAACTATGCTATTCCGATTTTAATTGTTGCTACTCAAAATAGCTCAGTTTTATTGAGACCACGAAGTCTCAACATTTCGTTTTCCGAAAACTTTTTATTGCTTTCAACATGTACTACAATAAATGAAATTTCATTCCTTATTATAGGTTACGGTTTTCGAATTGTCACAGTATTCACCACTTACCTTGATGATGAAGTTCGTGATATGTTCTGTTCACTACATTTTATGATTCTGCCGTATATTTGCGGCATTTTTCTTTTTGCGATCTTTGTTAGCATGCTTCCAACCCATAAAGCAAGATGGAGAACACGTATAAGTAGTTTTCTGATTTTGTTGACATCACCTTTTTTGTTAGAAATTTACATTACTTCCAAGGTAATTGAAATCTCCACACAGTTGGTTAGTTAGTACTTTCATGCACTTTGCAATCCCAAGTTAGTTTCGTTTTATTGGTGTTTACATTCCGATCGTAATTTGACTGCAATCTGTCGAAAATTACGTAATTGCCTGCCCGCACTATTCATTGGTCGTCCTGCTTTTGGAAGGGTTCAAATCGAAAATATTTATTTGACATTGTCACTTATATAACATACTGTGTGGAGAATTGGTCCCCTACCGTTTTCTAACAGTATTTTGAAATATTTCGATTTTCATTCATCGTAATTATATTAAATTTCTTCTGGTCTGCCATCACCTCACTCATCAGAGAATCATGTTTTATTAACCATTTTTAATCTAGAGCTTTTTCTAGAGGCACAGTTATTACTAAAAACTACAAAACAATGGTGAATGAAAAAAGCAATTTTATTATCTTTAATCTTTTCAGAACTACACAAAAATCAAGGCAAAATTAGGAACGATATATACCATACGATGGTTAGTTTAGCCATCTCAGTCACTATTGTAATAGAGTAATGCGTTGAAAATGACAATTATTTCAATTGAATTTTTTAAAATTTAAAATATAGTTTGTTTTAATTTTGTAACCGTCACTTTATAACTATTGGGTTTAAAATGGATGAAATAAGTACAGATAGGTTTAAACTTTGCTCTTATGTAAATTTGTGACTAAATTTTCATGTTTAGCCAATATACCGATAAGTGCTTTTAAGTTAGCATTAAAAAATGTATAAAATTTTCTGCTCAGATTTTTAAAAAAGGTGAAAAAGTATATTTTGCTTCTTAGCACTTTTTATTTGTTTAAACATATTTAAAAGCTACAATGAAATTTTTGACTGCTTATTTGAACAGAAAAGCAAATTTTGTTTACGAGTTCTTTTACCATTTTGCCATTTAATTTTTCAGCCGGTATTGACCATTTAACCTATTTTAACTAAGTTTTAAACTTTCTTGCGATACTAGTTCTTGTGATCGAGCGAGTGCATATGCTAACACAGAATTCAGTACAAGAGTAAAGTTATTTTTTAAAGCTGGAAAAAACAAAGACTTAATTTGAAAGAAGCTCCTTTCAATACTGTGCCTTAGATGCGAAACTGAAAATCAACAGTGCGTACAGATCTTATAAATTGCTATTTACATTTACCAAAAAAATGGGAAATTGTTAATAGAACCACTTGTTTGAAAAAAATATATTACTGCATCCTGTACGGAAAACAAAAATTGTTTAGGAAGACCCAAATCCGATTTTAATCGACTAAATTATTCGGGAAAGTATAAAAGGAAAAATAAAAAAAGTATTCACAGATGAATCAGTAATTGCAGTCAAACTAGGTTTGCAATTTTCTAGAAAACCAGATGCAACAAAGTTATAAAATGTGATTTCTCCCAACAAATCCAACATTAAGAAACTAAACGAAAAACTTATATCTAACCAATCAATTTGAATTAAATTAATTCAGAATCCACCAAATCCCTATAAAGCATTAGCGTTGGTGATCGACTACGGGCTATCCAAAGCTTTATTTTATAGGCTTTGTTACAAACTATTTATGCATTCTGTGGCCTTAGTTTTTCATTAACACAAATCTTCTTGACAGCTGTCTATTACTCGAATTTGTACTAAGCGGGCATCTAAGAAGAATTGTTTTTTTTTTCTTTTAAAAAACATAAAACCTAAAAATAAGTTGCTTTGCTGAGTGTGCGAGGTCCAAAATATTATGTGTAACATCTCACTTGGTTAAAAAATGATGTAAGTATTGTCTTACCATTTATTTTGTAAAATTTTGAAACCAGAGTTTTTTTTTGCGGTGTGCGTGCGTAGTGCCTGTTTATCGGCTCCATATTTTGAATCCAGTTTAGTGGTATTTTGTTTCAATTAATTATTGCAAATACCCCATAGTGTGCCTCAGTACTCATATCTTCATCCTTACATACTTTTTGTTGAAGACCTGTTATGTTTGGAAGTTATTTCAAGTAAAACATCATCTAACTTCAAACTTGCTCAAACGGTGCTAGTCCGATCGTGTCAATAAAGTGGTAACTATGGCTGGCGGATCAAAGACCCGTAACGCATCTTCTAGTAAGGCCGGATCTGGAGATGATATGGAGAAATTGATTTCTAAAGTCTGTACTAACTTCTACAAGCAGATTGAGGTAAATCTTTCTCAGCGTTTTGATAGTATCGATCGAGCAATTAAGTTAAAACTTACCGATTTCTTAATTCTCTCCACAATTTCATACTGTATGGTAGTTTATTGGCCTGCCCTACTTCAAAAGGACAAGCTTAGTTTTCAGCGTCTTCGGAATGCCTGTCTCAGATTCTCATACAATATTCGTAAATTTATATATATCTACTAGCCTAGAGGATTCTCGCGATAAATTTATATGCTATATTTTATTTTATAAATTGTGTCATATACTCGTTTTAGGGGGTTCCACGAGAGCAACTATGTTGGATGAAGCGCCCACCGTTATATATTTTTGTAAGATATCTCCGTCGAAACTGAATAAAGGCCCTTTATTATTATTATTATTATTATTATTATTATTATTATTATTATTATTATTATTATTATTATTATTATTATGCCATTCTGTTAACAGCTAAGCATCAACGAATGCTTAGTGAAGATGTCAGCGTAGCAACAAATGTTCTCCAGCAATGGTTTTCTGCAAATAACTTAGTCCTCAATAAACAAAAAACTCAAGAACTTACCTTCTCCTGCAGTAAAGTCGACTATCTGTATCAAAATAATATAACCCTCTTGGGATTCGTAATTGACAGGACTCTGTCATGGTCAGGCCAGATTCATGAGGTCTGTGCAACGTTGTCTCGGCGACTGTTCCTACTGAGACATCTCAGCCATTGTCTAACCCCGGCGGCCCTTAGGATAGCCTATTTTGGGCTTTTTCATAGTGTGCTGTCTTATGGCATTGTGCTTTGGGGTGGGGTTGGATATACGGAAAGAGCTTTTCGTTTGCAAAAGAAGGCTGTGCGAGTCCTCTGCGGTGCCAACCCGATTGCCCACTGCAAGCCCATTTTCTCTGACTTCCAGGTTATGACGCTGCCTTCTACTTATATTTACCGATCCATCCTGTATATTCACGAAAACGTGGATGTCTATGGGACACTTGGCAATAGACATGAGTATAATACTAGGTATGTTGACATGATCACCCCACCTCACTCCAGACTGACGTCCTCACAAAACAATAAAATTAATGTTAAACTGTATAATGTTCTCCCAAATAATATAAAAAATCTACCATACAGACAATTTAAAAAGAGAATGAAAAGTTTTTTTACTGATAATCCTTTCTATGATATTAATGAATACTTGGAGTTGATCAAACATACTACACTTGAATATACCACTGCGTTAGTGTGTTAGTTCTCAAAAATTGTACAACCTTTTATATTATATATATAAATTCTTTTGTATTGTTAACCTTTGACGTACCATTTGTTGTTTTTGTGACGTATCTGAATGGCCAATAAATTCTATTCTATTCTATTCTATTCTATTATTATTATTATTATTATTATTATTATTATTATTATTATTATTATTATTATTATTATACCTTACCTTACTCCAGACTGACGTCCTCACAAAACAATAAGATTAATGTTAAACTGTATAATGTTCTCCCAAATAATATAAAAAATCTACCATACAGACAATTTAAAAAGAGAATGAAAAGTTTTTTTAC